TGCCAGTTCAGGCATCTGGGTGGAATCTGACTTTGAGGCTCGGATCTCTCCAGAGCCCGGACTGGCAGAGTGACATCAGCTAACAGCAGACTTTACCCTGCTGTCGACTCAAAATGGGTGACAGGAGTGCAGAACGAAGTACACTCCTGTGACATACAGGAGAAGTACAGGCAAAAGAGCTTTAGCCCTACTTCTCTTTTAATATGATTGAAGGTTGAGAAAATTTATTTTATTGATGCATACATCAGGATTTTTGTATTTGAAGATAGCAAGGAGCCTGCCGTTGGTGTATTTGGGAATACCTCACATTTCTTTACAAGTAGGTAGGCAAAAGGAATTCCCAGATTAACAAAAAAAAAGTCTATTGAAACTTCCTCCTTGTTGGCTTTTCCCCTTATCAATGCAGCTTCCAGACTTATTCACCTTACCAGTCATCTAATGCCTGCCTCCTCTGTCTGCCCTTCCCTCAATTACCTTGTGCTTGCCCAACAAATACATTTCAAAATACTAACAACATACAAAGTCATCCACAACTCTGCTCTGAGCTATATTACCAATCTGATCTCAAAATATATCACCCAAACTATCCTCTTTGCCTTTTACAAAACCTCCTGTTCTCTAGCTGTCTTGTCACTTCCTCCCTTGTTCATGTCCAGGATTTCTTCAAAGCCTTTCCCTTCTTCTGAAACTCCCTACCCCAAACTGTTGGCACAATGTAGATCCTGCATAGTAATAATAGGGTAGACTTGTGTACTGCAGGAACATGTGCATAGGAGATTAAAACCTTGAATGGGTAGGCTGTGGCGTCTGTATGCATTTCTTTTCCCTAAAGCGTACTATCACTCTACCAAAAGACAGAACAGGAAGGTACAAACACCTTGTGCATTACCAGCAATTTATTTGAATAAAATCCAATAAGTGCCAAGTGCATACTCACAATAAGAGGAAAGGACGTTAAAACACAAATCACCGCAGTTTGAAATTATGTGTATCCCTGAAACCCTGCCGAGCTGGCAATCTGACTCATTTCGGGGGCGTACCCCATTCTTCAGAGCTGAGCTTATTGTTATGTTTGTGTTTATGTTTGTGTTTTGTTTGTGTTCTATTACTCTAACTCAGGGTTTCTCAACTAGGTTTCCATGAGGAAATTCTGCTTATCAGCTTCCCACTGACACCACTGATCATTTTCGCTATCTGTAAGGTGGTAATTCTTCCCAATGACCAAAAGTGTAAGGATCATTCTCCCCGCTGACCATCACACTAATGTGTCACGAGTTGTAGATATAGTATTTTTTAGCAGGGGTTCACTGAGTCTGGAAAGTTATTTCCAGGGTTCCTCTGTGTTGAAAAGGTTACTCTAACCTTTTCATTTGTAGTTTGAGACACTTCAGCTTAAAAGAAAAATAAGTCCTTCACACAGACTTTACACCTAGCCAATATGGAATTGATTGCTGAATCTGTTTATCTTACTATGAGCAACAAAGGTTTTTTCCTTGGTAATGGTAGATGATTATTGGATTCTCAGAATAGAGAATTAAGGGTCACAGACCTTTAATGATCTATAAGGTATGTGTTATTAGAATGTAAGCAGGTTTAAAGACCAGCTAGTTCATTTCTATGAGGAATCCTTCTTGAAAGAGCCCACGGTATACTAACTCTGGCTATGTCTTCTCTTGTTCTTTAAAATAACCACTCTTATTTCTAGATAGGTAATTATTATACTGCTTTGTTTGGGTGAAAAGACACCTTTCCTTTAGACGAGGCTTACTTGTTTGCCACCATTTTTATAATAGGTAAACTGTTAGTAGAGAAATATACCTTGCACATCTTCCACGTCTTCTTTATAAGTCCATGTTAGCTCAAGCCAGTAAACTGGTAATGTTACTGACTGATTAAATTAGAGGATATTTCATGTCTCCCATTGAGAAAAACACGGCTGAACATGAAAATGGCAGCACGTAACTGAAGGGCTATTAATAGGTATGGTGTGGGTGTTGTTTCTCTGGAGCTAGGAGAGCAGAATGTTTTATACTTGACTCATGGAATGTTCTCCTGCCAATACTGGCTATTCTATAACAGGCAGGACCATGACTGCTCAAATTCTATTCCGCTACTGTATCTCCTCATTTACTGCATTTCAAGGGGTGCGTTTTATGCTTATTAGAGAGCAGTTCGTATCTCTGAGGTAACTGTCCACACCACCAGCCAAAAGTCCTAAAGGATCAAACTGATTACAGAACCTTATCTGATTGTCTTTGCCTTCTCTGAGATAAACAAGCACTGGAGATTTCTGCAGCCTTCCCTGAAACTCCATAGACCTACATATAGATGAAAACAATATTGGAGGATTCTTTAGTGTCTATGGGAACATTAAAGTGCAACTAAAGGCAAAACTTTTTTTTTTTTCATTTTGAATAGAGTAAAGGAGAGCTATAACCCCCCTCAGTTTTTTTTTCTGTGTCCCATTGGGGAGTTTTCACTTCCTGTCCTATAGCCAAAATAAGAAGTGAGAGGAAATCCCTCTAAAGTAAAGGAATCCCCAGGGCTTCACCAAGGTCAGTAGAACAAGTGTCCCTATTAGAAGATTTCTCCTCTATTAGTGTTCTGATGTAAACCCAAAAGTTGGGATTTTCTTTCACTTTCATTTTCAATGATAAACAGGACAAATAGAGTGAATCTGGAATGCACAGAGAGCGAATAAAACTTAAAGGTGTTCTAATCCCCATCCACTCTATCCAAATCACAAAAAAACAAAGTTTTGCCCTTAGTTACACTATAAATCTACTCTGTCACTTTTGTCTATACTGAAGCCATGCCCATAAAAGAAGTCTTTTTCCATGGTACCCTCGGTAGTGAACTCTGCCGAGACATTGAGAAACCTTGTGATGAAGTTGGCATTAAAATTTCCATGTGTGTCAATCTCCTGAGACCAGCGCTGCTTCCAGTGATTCCTCCTGTTGCCCTCCACCCATTACAGGATACAGTAGTGATGTGGAGGTCAACAAGTAGAATCAGTGAGAGTTTGAGGACCCAGGAGATTGGCACTTTTTGGAAGTACCGGTTTCAATGCGAACTTCAGTACAGATGGCAAGTACAGCAGGAAAGGTAAGTATGTATGTACCTCTTTTACAGGTATGCCTTAAAATGTTACTGAACCCACAACAGTAAAATCAGTCTGTATGTGCAGTAAAGAATGCTTGTTATATTCACTGTGGAACCCAAGGGGTTAATCCTACGCATTGTGTAAAAAGGCTATTTGATCCTGTTCTCTCTGATCCTCCCCTTCTACTGTCCCAAATCCATCTGCTGATAGTACAGAGCTCTAGGAGTCACCCTGCATATGCTCCGCTTAGTATGCATAGCTAGAGTTTTTTTTTTTTCTCTGGGAGAGTGCATGTGATTAGCACATGGCCAATCAGCACTTTCCAAACTCCTCCTACAAGCTTTAACCAGTACTCGGCTGGACACTGATAGAAGTCACAAGACCTCTCTAACTGCTGATGAGAAAAAGGTATTTAGCAGTTCATATTTACTGAAATATATGCATTTCCATCTTCTGTGTACTGTGGGAGACCAGATATACTGAATGCAGGGTCCTGGGTTTAGTAACACTTTAATTTAAAATATTGACTATAGCATCAGGATTTCTGTAAAGTATAATTTAGACAATTTTAGTGATTCTACTGTGTAAAATTTGGGGATAAATTGCTGCTGAGTGCTTGAAGATACAGAGGCTGGTGAGAGCGTGATTCAAAGCTCATTTACTGCTTCAACAAAATGGTAGCCATCTGCACACAGACACCAGCTCCTTATTGCATAAATGTAAATGCTATGGGTAAAAGATGGCTGCAGCTCCTGTTCTCCACCTTTAGAGAACTCATCAAATGCGTTTCTCTCTTTCAGGGTTTAATTGTAGAGGCCGCTATGATTAAGCCCCAAAAAGGGCGAAAAGTATCTGAGGATTTCTGTCAGGTGGAGAACAGGAGCTGAAGCCTTCTTTTACCCATATCGTTCACATTTATGCAACAGACAGTCATGGTCTGTGTGCAAATGTGTATGTGAAAATAAAAATGAAATTGGAGATCATCCAATCCCTGAGGATGCCATTTTTGGAGAAATGCGTCGGGGGGAGTTTTCTGTGTCATCACCACATTCCGGCCTTTGGAATGACACCACGGTTCATTTGAATTTGTACACTGCCTTTATGCACCTTATCTATGTCAGTGCAATGTTTTATTGAATAAATCCTTGAGTTTTATCTGGTTGCACTATGTAGTCTCATCTGTTCTAATCCTTCTGTGCACTGTATGGAGAGTGGTTTGATGTGAGGAATTCATCTGGGTGAACCCACAGCTGTCCATCCATATCCCTTGATACTGTTAACACGGGTGTCAGTGTGGAATCTGCTTGTTTGATCTCTTGATTTGGGATCAAATTGGTTCGGTAAGAGGCTGATTTGTTTAGTGTGGCGAGCACTTGTGGACACTATAGCAATTTGTTGGAGATTATATTCAGCATGCAGCACTTTCACATTGGATTTGGGACCCATTGAGTATTTATATCATGGACATCTATTTATAGCACCTTATATGCATTTTTTCCACATTTGCATATGTGAATTTGTGGTTCATTTTTGGTTTATTTTGTCAAGTTATTGTGTCAGGTTTAATCTGTGTGCAGATGGCCACCATTTTTTTTTTTAGAGTCTACTAGAGCCTGACAGGTGGATCCTGTCTGTCTTGCACCAGTCTATTCACATGCTGATCCAACTGACACGGGTCTGGGGGGCATTCAAGCGTTACTATTTTTATTGTTTTGGGCTCATTTGCTAATTGTTGAGAAAATGTAAAAACATTAGCCTGGCCATATGTCGACTTTAAAGCTAATTAAAAAGTGAGAGGAGTTTATTACACTGGCATTTTGACTTAGAATAAGGTTATTTCTGATTTTTTTGTTTTTATTGAACAAAATGTAATTCTGTCTGTGATCCTTTTCTGCAGGCAAATAGAAGGCAAAGTGGTTGAAATATCCCGACTGCAAGAAATATTCACAGAGAAGGTGCTGCAGCAGGTAATCATTTATTATTATGAAGACTATTCGTCAATTTAACTTACATTTGTGCTTGCCACATCAGTTTTGTTGAAGAGATGCCGAGTTGTGTGATGCTGGTCCCAAACGTTTAGTAACATTAAACTGTTTTCCACACTTCCAGGCTGGAGCACAGATGTCTCAGCAACCTGTGTAATGAAGACAGTATGTTTTGATAGTCTATTTGTTTCACTAATTTGGTTACTTCGATGGAAATCAAGCATCGTGTGGGTTTTAGTTTTATGGTTTTCAGTCTCTTTAAATGTAAAGCAAACAGTTCTGCAGATTGAAGTGTACAATATATATTTTAGGATGAAGGAAGGTAGACTAAATTAATGTATTTGGAACAGTAATTTGTACTTGGCTTTATCTTGCCTTTCATTCACTCCTTTACATCCCCTATCAGTTGCTGAAGCTTGCAGAAATACTCTGTATTCTGCGTTTCGGGGAACACGTGACATTATCTCACCTCCCCCACATCAGCCAATCAGAGTGCTGTCACATGTTGTGAGGAAAGAGATTACAGGCTTTGTTCCCTTTTCTGACCATGTGTCGCGTTACACCCATAGATGGGGTGTAACAAAACATGGTTGTATTCCCCAACTCCCCATTCTCAAACTGCCCCCAACATACTTGAATCACAGAGTGCTTCTCCCTGGAGCGTCCTATTGATTTTTTTAATTTAATGTGGTTTTGCCCACAAAGTCATGTCATCCATTCACAGGGATCTATGAATGAAAAGACCACAAGTCCCATGTGCCACCGTGCCAGAGGGACTTACAGATCTCAATGAACCACAAGTCCGGTGATATCACTGCACTGTAGTCCATTGATTACTTTCTCCATCCTCATAACAGAAGGTCTCCACACCCCCACTGTACCGACCTAGGGCTGGGGGTGTAAACAATGCAGGACCCTGTACATTGCAGTGATTGCTCGGCAGGCTTCAATACACAAATTAGGAAATCTACATTTTATTTTGTTAATGTCAGGGTATTTTCTTACATTTTTGTAAAAGGTGGACTATTCCTTTAAGTAAAGACTGTTTACCCCCTGTAAAGCTAACCTGTTACACTGCCCAGTGAATCACTTTAATGTTTAGCTGTAATTTTGGATTGAATAGAAAAAAAATTCAAACACACATTCAGCCACTAAAAGCAAATACTCTTAAATTTAGAGCATAATTTTAATTGGATCTGGGAAAAAACAGCACATAATTGATGCAGTTGTGGTCCGCGTACAAGAAAAACACGAATAGTCTCAGCTGGAAGCCTATGAAACACAACTGCCAACATTTTAAAATGATTTCAAGGGACACTTTGATTCAGTGCTATTGTGCCTCAGCCTATATTGTGCATATATTTCAGTCTGTGTCTCAGTGCTGCAAAAACCATTATCCTTATGTCACCTGATGTTACAAATATTTTGCATTGAAAAAGTTGGCCATCAATAGAAATTAACTAACGAATAAAAGAATTGTAACTTGAACATATAGAATATACTGTTGCTGGTTTGATTTGAAAAGCTGGGGCATTTCCAGGGATGAATCTGACCAGTGAGTAGTCATGAATACCAGAGGTACCCCAGTTTTTTTAACAGTACAAATCCCCTAAAACAGATTTCTGATGTATATAAGTGCAATTGCATCGTTAAAGGATATCTACAAAATATCTCCAAAGTTAAATCTGACGTTCCAGCCTGGGTCTCATATAGTGTATAGCAATAAACAAATTGAGTCAGACATGCCCTAGAAGTAACCCCTTTCACTTAAAGTAGAATTCCAGCCTGACACCAGCTAGTCTTAAAAATGTTCCTTCCCCCTCCACCTACCTATGCTGCCTAACCTGTGTGCTTGCCTATGTCTAGTCCTTCTTGGGTCAGTCACATGATCCCCTGTGCTAGTGAGAGGCAGCTTCAGGAGAGAGAATAGGGAGCACTCAACAGCAGCTGGGGATTCTGGGAGCCGTGATGTCACTCGTAGGAACCCATCCCTCACCCGCTTTCTGAAACAGGGGAGCTGAAACTGCAGATCACATGAAGAGAGCAGATTAAAAATAAAGTATACAACTTGTTTTCTCACAGGCTAAGCTGCATAGGTAACAGGAGGGGAAGGGAACATTCTTAAGAGTAGTTAGTATTAGGCTAGAGTTCTACTTTAAAGAAACACTGTCACCAACCTAAAACATTGCAGGTAAAAGAACAGAAAAATCAAGTATTTCTTTGGTTTTCAATCTGTTTATTGCGGCAACAGTATACAACATGTATACAGCCAAAACGTGTCTGGAGGGTGGTACAAAGTCAAGAATTTAGGTACAGTGGGTATCAGGCCCAGACTGGGACAAAAAGTAGGCCCGGGCAGTTTGGACTGAGCAGCCCAAAGCTCGGGGACCCTTTCCTTGGAGCCTGGTGGCGGAACTCCAGGGCCCAGTCACAAGAGCGACCCTGGTAGTTCCGCCACTAGTGTCAGTAGGTTTTTATTTAATTTTTCACAATTTTTTATTTTATTATTTTTTAAATAAAATTTTGTAGGCGAGAAAGAAAGAGGGAAAGAAAGAATGAAGGAGGGAAAGACAGAGAGGAAGAGGAAAAGGAAAAGAAAGCAGGAAAAAAGAAAGAGAAACAGGAGACAGAGAGTGAGAAAGAAAGCGAGGCATATAGAAAGAAAGAAGGAAGGAGGGAAACGGGAGAAAGAAAAAGATGTATAGGAGGAGGAAAAGAAAGAAAGAGAGAAGGAAGGAGGGAGACAGAGAGAAAGACATATAGAAGGAGGGAAAGTAAGAAAGAGATAGGAGAGAAACTGGAGACAGAGAGAGAAAGAAAGACATATAGAAAGGAAGCAGGGAAAAAGGAGACAGCGAGAAAAAGAGACCTAGGAGGGTAAGAAAGAAAGGAAGGAGAGAAACAGGAGACAGAGGAAGACAAAAAGAAAGAGGATAGAAGCAGGAGACAGAGAGAGAAAGAGAGAGCTATAAAAAAGAAAGAGAAATAAATGAGAGAAACGTGAGACAGAAAGGAGAGAAACAGGAGACACAGAGAGAGAGAAGAAGAAAGAGAGAAAAAAAAGAGAAAGAAAAGAGAGACATAGGAGACAATGAGAAAGAAAGAGAGAACTATAAAAAAAGAGAGAAAATGAGAGAAACGAGTGACAGAAAGAAAAAGAAGGAAAGAAAGAAAGAAAAGGGAAAAAAAATGAGAGAAATGGGAGACAGAGAGAGAGGAAGAAAAAGAGAATTAAAAAAAAAAAGGGATAAGATGAGGTGGGTGGGTGGGTGTTGGAGGAGATGAGGGAGGGGGGCCACTGGAGGAGATGAAAGAGGGGACTCCTGGAGGAGATGAGGGAGAGGGCCGCTGGAGGAAATGAGGGGGGAGGGGTGGCCACGGGGGGAGCATACAGGAGCCGACCTCATGCAGGATTGATAGGAGAGGCTAGGATTGATAGAGAAACCGAGAAATGCACAGTCCTCTATGTGCTGCCCGTCCGTCTCTCCTATCCAGGTGGCCCCGGACCACCGGGCAAATGCCTAGTGTGCCCTATGGCCAGTTCGAGCCTGGTGGGTATAGGATTGCCCCCATTGAAAAAAAATTCACATTTTCGTACTTTTGCAGCCTGAAATGAAGGCAGACACAGTTTTTGTTTTATCCAGCTGTATTTACAGGTTTCAACTTATAACAGCCAAGTGAAAGCTATAACACCAATAAGTCAGAAAAAAAACAAAAACAGAATCACAGAGTTGGTGAAAGGATCACCCCCTCCTGAAAATAACTTGTAAACCCGATCAGTTGTAGCTAATCACCTTCTTAATGGCACACAAAGCCATTTGGCTTTCAACTGTGATCAGCTGTGGCCATTTTGATTAGCTCAGCATGAAAAGAGCTTTCCTGGGCATTTCAGTCCCTGATAGTGCAACTGAAGCAAACAATCAACTATGGGTGGCAAAACCATGTCAAAAGATTTCCAGGATAAAGTTGTGGACAAGCACAAGTCAGGAGATGGATACTAAAAAAATCCAAAGGCTTTATGAATGCCTAGATTCCTAGATGCACAGTGAATTATTAAGAAATTGGTACAACACAGACCCTCCCCGGATCATGATATTGCTGCAAACTGGATGAAAGAGCCAGGTGAAAACTGGTCCGAGAGGCTACCAAGAGGCCCACAGCAACTCTAAGGCTATGTTCACACTAGCTTTGTTAGCAGGCATTAGACAGGTGTTTGGGAAGTGTTTTTAACACTCCTTAAATGCCTATGAAAATTCTACACATGGCAGCACACAGTGCTGTTCACACTGAAGCATTAGCATCGCGGCAAAATTGACGCCTCACGTCCAGTCAGGAGGAGTTGAAGCCTCCTTTTCAAGTCTATGGTGATGCTCCTCAAATGCCTGGCAGGCATGTGCGGAACGTTAGTACCATTATCTTCATTATAGGCGTTTTGGTGCGGTTTTAATGCTCGGCAAACGCCTATTAAAAACACGCTTAGAGCGTTTGGGGATCTTTTGAGGAGCATTAAAAACACTTCCCAAACTCCTGTCTAACACCTGTCAAATGCTATAGGGAAGTTTGGCAAGCGTTAGAAATTAGTCAAGTGTGAACAAGCCCTAAAGCAGTTTTCAGACATGTTTGACAAAGAGCGGTCATTGTGTGCATGTGACAACAATATCACAAATTCTCCACAAATGTGGCTTGTATGGGAGGGTTGCAAAGAAAAAAGCCAAGATTCTGAGACCACAAAGAAATAGGTGATATCGTTTAGTGTTTAGGCCAATTAATTCCATTATAGTCTCATCTGACCATATGTTTGGTCAAAATCCAGTACAGCTCATCATCCAAATAATACCATTCCTACAGTAAATATTCTGACTCAGATTGTTGTGATAGCGATTTATCCCTTGTGAGACCTCTCTGCCTAGCCTGTATAAGCAGATATAATCACTGTGGACAATCCTTATCAGATAGCTGAACTCGCCAATACTGTGTTCATC